AAGGGTATAGGGGGCCCCCTCTGCCGACCTGACGGGGAGTCACGAGATGTGTGCTGCCTTCCGGGAGCCAAGGTTCGAGACGTGGCCGAGAGGATGCCACAACTCGTCAGGAGAAGGGACTACTATCCACTACTACTATTTCATGTAGGCACAAATGATACAGAAAGCAGAAACCTGGGTAAAATCAAGGAAGACTTTCGAGCTCTGGGGGTACAAGTGAAAAACATTGGGGCCCAGGTTACCTTTTCCTCCATTTTACCAGTTCGAGGAAAGGGGGTGGCCAGAAATAGGTGCATAATGTACATCAACTCCTGGCTACATGGCTGGTCCCGTCATGAGGGTTTTGGCTTTTGTGACAACGGGGCATTCTTCGACAACTACAACCTGTTAGGGAGGGATGGGGTCCACCTCTCTAGGCGAGGCAGGGGAATCCTAGGCAGTAGGCTGGCCAACTTTGTACGGTGGGCTTTAAACTAAAGGACTTGGGGGGTGGGGTGCGCAGTCAGGTCACTCAGGCAGTCGCATCTGATGAGGGAACAAGTGTGTCCGGTCAGAACACCAATAAATGTGCCATAGCTGCATTCCAACTTAAGAACCAGAAGACCAACTGCCCTAAAGGTGGGCTTGGCTGTATCAGATCCTCTTTCATCCCTCCAGGGAAACCTTGCTGAACCAAGTGGGTGCCCTGGTGACAGAAGACAAAGAGAAGGCGGAGCTACTGAATGCCGCCTTTGCTTCAGTCTTCCCAGGCTCCCCAAAGTGCTCTGGGAACCGAAATCCTGAGCTGACGTTTTGCTGTGAAGAGGAAACTGTTCTGGCAGCAGTTGGTCTGACACTGCCTCACTGAACGTGAAGGGCAAACCAGGCCTGGGAACAAAACCAGCTCTGATGCCGAACAAACGGAATCGCCGAGGGTAGGGAAGAGAAAGACCAGGCTTAAGGTTAAACTCGTTCTTCCACTCCAATCCATGCCACAGCCATGGAATTGAAATTAGAGAAACAAAATCCTGTCAGAACCTTTGTACAATTTCTCTTAACGAAGCCTTGAACAACAAAGCCTGCTTACGCTACTCTGGGTGTACCCTGGGCGACGTGATTACACAGAGGGCCCCAGCTCCCTCCAGCGGATGAAGAGAGGTCAAGAAAATCCTTGGGTACTTCAGCCCGAGCTGCAGTAGCATCAGCCTGGCACATGGTTGCACATGGTGCTGGCATGAAGCGTACGACTGGGAAATGGAACAATGACATTATTTTGTGATCTGCAGGCGATGATGACGACCACAGCTGCTAACGTCTTGCTCCTGGAGAAGATCAGCAGCGCACACCTGGATTTCAACCAAGACACGTGCCATGGTCCTGCACCATGCAAGTGCTCTCGCTGCAGATGCAAGGGACGGGGCAGGTATGTTTGGACATGCTGCTAGCAGCCACCACTGGGCCTGCTTGGCAACGAGGGGAGGATCACATCTCTTTAGGTGATGCACTCTCATGCTCTAAAGGTCCAAATCTTTGCCAGCTTAAAGCTAACGGTGAAAGGACATGCAGCTTCCTGATGCAACGTCTCCCAAAAGCTTGCTGTTTTGCCTAACAGTGAGAAGATAAGCCCTGAAAACAGAAAATGGAAGAGGCACCCAAGAGCTGCATTTATTCTGTGCTAACAGATACTGAACAGAAATACCCTCCCACCTAGACACCCAAGCGTACACCCCCTGCTCCACAGGCAGCCGCCACTGCCTGCCTCAGCACTTTTTCAGGCTGCATGGCAGACCCAGAACTGATTTGGCACCAGGAAAGGGTGGGGAGTTCCACACAGCAGAGCTTGTGCGCTTGAAGTAGCGCGGTTTGCTTTTGTAGAAGATGTCCTCCAGCTTGGGGCTTGCAATCACCCCAAAGATGGCGTCAATGTTGGGAGGGTTGTAGTACTGGTGGATCACAGCCTGGCTAAGCTGATTCCCTGGAGAAACAAAAGATTACATTTTCATTAATCCTTGTAATTGAAATTGTGGGGCAGGCTGTTAGTACGCAATGTGTCCCTGCTCCCTGCACCCCTAATCGCACCGAGATCGCTACAGGCGCGGGGCAGAGTGGCTGGAAAGCTGCCTGGTGGAAAAAGACCTGGGGGTACTCGTTGACAGCTGGCTGAATGTGAGCCAGCAGGGTGCCCAGGTGGCCAAGAAAGCCAATGGCATCCTGGCTTGTATCAGGAATAGCATGGCCAGCAGGAGCAGGGAAGTGACTGTGCCCTTGTACTCGGTGCTGGTGAGGCCACCCCTCGAATGCTGTGTTCAGTTTTGGGCCCCTCACTACAAGAAAGACATTGTGTTGCTGGAACATGTCCAGAGGAGAGCCACAAAGCTGGGGAGGGGTCTGGAGCACAAGGCTTACGAGGAGCAGCTGAGGGAACTGGGGGTGTTTAGTCTGGAGAAGAGGAGGCTGAGGGGAGACCTGATCATCCTCTACAACTGCCTGACAGGAGGCTGTAGTGAGGTGGGGGTCAGCCTCTTCTCCCTGGTAACGGATGATGGGACAAGGGGAAATGGTCTGAAGTTGCGCCAGGGCAGGTTTAGGTTGGACATTAGGAAAAACTTTTTCACTGAAAGGGTTGTCAGGCTCTGGAATGGGCTGCCCAGGGAGGTGGTTGAGTCCCCATCCCTGGAGGTATTTAAAAGAAGTGTAGATGAGGTGCTTAGGGACATGGTTTAGTGGTGGGATGGCAGGGTTGGGTTAAAGGTTGGACTCGATGATCTTAAAGGTCTTTTCCAACCTAGACGATTCTATGAGTCTATGATTATCTGTCAGAGCAAAGCTGCCGTAGGGTTTGCCAGGGGCTCTCAGGGCAAATTTCAACCTGCTAACACATACCAGTTGCCCAGGCAGGGATGGGCTTGCGAGGCTGGCTTTCGTCATCCGTAGAGTCATCGCTGTTGAGATCCAGTCCGTAGTTGTTTGGATTTATGACAGGGGGCTTTGGATCTTTCTGTGCCTGTGGAGTCATCTGGTAGGAAGTGCAGGCAGGTGAGTTCTAGAAGAAGACAAACATATTCCACAGGGGTGAGAGGCAATAGCCCTGCTGCGCTTCTGGGTTGCAGCGAGACGCTCATAGGCCAGCACACCTCAATATTCCCCCTCCTGCTTCACCGCACAATTGCAAAACCCTAAGTTTGGCAGCTCTAAAGTCTTCACCCAAGAACTTGACCCAAGTTCTAAAGTTCTGACCCAATCGTAACTTTGCAATGCCTTGTCCTGTTTCATTAGGCTGTTTAATTGGCTACGCATGGTGTGAACACGCCAGCAACACGTGCATCTAATACCAATACAGCAGTTCTGTTCAACTCCAGCAAGGCTTAAATGGAGTTGTCACGTCTTCAAAGCTGGAGCCCAGCAACGCGCTTTAAATACTCTGCAACTGAGCTTCTGGGCTTGCTTAATAATATTAAAGTGAATATTTCCTTGTAGAGAATACGCACATGTCAGCTCAGGACAAACTGAACTGTAATTTCGATGGCAACAGCATGACTGAGGGAAACACAAGTGACAAAGAAGAACTTAAAACTGTGAATTTCACTGCCCATGAAACATAAGCCAGCCCTTCATCAGAGGGATGAGCATCTCTGGAGAGCTGGAAACAGTTTTATTCCCCATGAGACGCTGCCTTTATAGCTTTGTGTCCATTAATGTTAACTCATATCTGCTGGTTTTGCATTTAAAGATTAGAACATAGAGCTCTGGAAGGAGATAAAGATCCATGTATTTGCCTTCGACGTTTAAGGTGTGTACCTCACCTCCAGGATCCCCTCCAGGGCCCTCAGTAGCGAGGCACACTGCAATACAGTTCCACTGACCCTGCTGCCATCCTGTGGCTGTCTCCAACCCTGAGCTTAACACCACTTCAGCACTGCTGCTGCCCGTGAGGCTCGCCAGTATTTCAAGAGCTTAGGAAGGCAAGGCAGCTTAAACAGCCACTGCCTTATCCTGACCAGAAAATCCCAGTGAATGCTTGCCACTTCCCACCTTTCCACTTCCCAAAGGTCAGTTAAATATTCAAGGCCACCAGAATTCAACCTCAGACAACCAGGAAAAAAGTTTACAGAGCCCCTTCGTTGCTGAAAGGGACTATAAAAAGCAGAAGGGTCAAACTGCCCATTGTAACCGCGTGTTGGTGCTGGAAACAACATTCATCCCTTAAAGAAATTCCACCAGAGAGCACAGAATTACCTCTTGGTTTTCTTGGTGCTGTGTTTGGGCTCTGTCTTTAGCCTTTTGCTCCTCTGGCAGTTTCTTCTGTTCTTGCTCCTGTCTCTTCATCTCTGCTAGCCTCTGCTCCTCCTGCTGGCAAGCCGACATCACACATGAATTAATCGTATGAACTGAGCTACTGAGCTATGATAACCCAGGGATCCATTGTTCTGATACACAAGAGGAGCATCTGCTGCAAGTCTTTGTTAGTTGTGGTGCTAAGAAGCACTTCAACACAGTGCGAGCAGTGGACAAACACAAAGCAATGGGTTGAACTTTCCACACCAAGTGGCATGAACAAATGGACCTGCCCATTTAAGAGCGTTATTTGCCTTCTTCCGATAATGCAATGGCCTCATGCTTTGAAAAACCTGCTACTGACTTTAGGACACAAACATCAGAAACCAGATGACCGCCTGCAGATGTAAAAGTCTCTGCTACCAATCTTAGCCTCTCTTTAGACTGTGAACAGTATTTTGAGAGGCTGAGTCACCCCGCTGTGCAATCACCGTCCCAAACAGGCCAAGAGAGCCTCACCCTGTGAATGCTGAGCTTCTCCTGCTGGAGCTCAAGGAAACCAAAAGGCTGCAAACTCAAAGAGCAGGAGTCTAAAATAGGTGAAACCAACCCCACCCGGTCTCCAGGGCAGGATGAGATGTGCACAGGCCTGGCACCTTCACGAAGCCCCTGACGGGGTGAGGCACTTGCTGGGCACACAGGGACCCCCAGCAAGAATTCAGCTTCCTGAGGGTAGCTGGGGAAGGGCTGGCAGCGTGTCGATAGCGCAGCTCTGCTACGTGGAGCGGCAGCGATTTTGGGCAAGTGTTGGTGTATTGGGTTTCTGTGGCAAGGTCTTGGTAGTGGGGGGGGCTACAGGGGTGGCTTCTGTGAGAAGCTGCTAGAAGTTTTCCCTGTGTCCGCTGCTGGCCCAGGCCAACATCAGTGACAGTGGAAGCACCTCTGGGATAACATATTTAAGAAGGAAAAAGAAACCAGCTGCTGCTCAGTAGCTGGAGAGAGAAGCGAGAAGACGTGAGAGAAAGCAGCCCTGCAGACACCAAGGTCAGTGAAGAAGGAGGGGGAGGAGGTGCTCCAGGCGCCGGAGCAGAGATTCCCCTGCAGCCCATGGTGAGGCAGGCTGTCCCCCTGCAGCCCATGGTGGAGCTGATCTCCACCTGTAGCCCGTGGAGGACCCCATGCTGGAGCAGGTGGATGCCCAAAGGAAGGAGGCTGTGACCCCGTGGGAAGCCTGCGCCAGATCAGGTTCCTGGCAAGCCATTGCAGACCTGTGGGTGGAAGGAGCCCACGCCGAAGCAGGTTTGCCAGCAGAACTTGTGACCCCGCAGGGGACTCAACACTGGAGCAGTCTGTTCCTGAGGGACTGCACCCCGTGGAAATTATGGACCCATGTTGGAGCAGTTCGTGAAGAACTGTAGCCCGTGGGAAGGACTCACATTGGAGAAGTTCGTGGAGGACTCTCTGCTGTGAGAGGGACCCCACGCATGAGTGGGAGAAGAGCCCTCTCCCTAGGAAGAAGCGGCAGAGATGTGTGATGAACTGACCTCAACCCCCATTCCCATCCCCCACGCTGCTGGGGGGAGTAAGTAGAGAAACTGGGAGTGAAGTTGAGCCCAGAAAGAAGGCAGGGGGGGAAGGTTTTTAAGATCTAGCAGTTTTTCTCCTCTCCTTCTCTGATTTTGATTGATAATAAATTAAATTTTTTTTCAAGTTAACTCTGTTTTGCCCATGATGGTAACTGATAAAATGATCTCTCTCTATCCTTACCTCGACCCACGAGCCTTTTTATTTACTTTTCTCTCCTCTGTCTGGTTAGAGGAGAGTGATAGAGCAGCTTTGGCATCCAGCCAGGGTCAAACCACCACAGTTGGACATTTCCAATCCACTATTCCAACCTTCTGTTCTTTCTCACAAATCACCTCGGAAGCGCAAGTTGTCCCAGATCTTACATAAACCAAACAGCAACAGCCCCAATAGCAAAGGGTTTCCTACCAATTCCCAGCAATTGCTGCATGCAAGTCCTTCAGAAGGGACATTCCAAAAGCTACCCAAATGCCTGTGGGCTTTATCTGCGCTTCAGTGAGAACGCGTGCCGCAAGGCAAGCAAAAACCTGCGCCTGTTCAACTGCCGCGGCTTTGTTCAAAGAGCACAGATGGCCAAGGCATCAGAAGCTCCCTCTTCAACACCACAAGCAAAGCCGCCTGCTTGGTTAATCTACGCTGGCATGACCGCTGCAGACAATAACCTGACCAAGTCTACGGTCTGTGTTTGTGGCTCTGCTTAGGTGGCACAAGTGTAAGATTGAGACATTGCTTCTGAAGTCTGGGGTTAATTACTGTTTGATATCGAGAGAGGAACAGATACACCTGGGCACAGGAAGGGGGAAAGGCCAAAAACCTCCCTTCAACGCGTGTGTTACTTGTCCTTTCCTCTTGCGCTGCTGCCACCTAAAGAGCAAGCGTACCCTCTGACACAGACAGAGAGCAGACTCTGGCAAAAGCACCTTTGTCTGGCACGAGTTTGGAAGTGCAACAGCTCACTCATTGCATTCGCAGAAGCTTCACAGCTCAGCTGCTAACAGCAATGGCTACTGGAGTCAGATCCACGTGGCTCTGCCATTCTACAGAGAGTACTTACTTCTTTCTTCTCCATCTCCTTCTGGAGCCGTTCTTTAGCAGCCAACGCTTCCTTCTGCAGGCGAGCAGCCTTCTCCTGCTGTTCACGCAGCCTGAGAAACAAAGCAATGGACCATTACTCTCCAAACTACACAGGGGTACCCCCCCATCCAGTGCCTGCTGTGAGCTCTTTTCTCACAGCTTTTCAGGACATTCCCCACCACACTTCCTACGTTACTGAGCCCAGAATTCCTTCCTGGCAGCGTGGTACACCCATGATGGTCCAGAGCTGCGCTGACAGCACAAAGTAGGTCTTCACTGCTTGAGCCTTTTACTAGTGCCCCCCATTTCTGCTTCCGTCAAAGGCCCAGCACAGAATTCAATACGTGAATGGGTACTGCCTTACTTTTCTGCTTGGATCCTCTCCTGTTCCTTCTTCCTCTCCAGCTCTCTCTCCGCAGCCAGCAGTTTTTCTCTCTCCTGCTCTGCCTGTCTCCGCTCAGCAATCTTCCTGCCACGTTCTTGCTCCTCTTCCTTCCTCTTCTGCATTAGCTCCTTGTGCCGACGTTCCTCCTCCTCCTGGTAAGCCCAACAAGGCAGTTACTCACCTCACATTGCACAGGGACAGGCTCCAGAATACAGCAGCAGGAACACCTTATCTGACCCAAGTCTCTAGCAGCAGGCAAACAACTCAGGGCTGAAGCCCCAGTGCTTTCCAGGTAGGTGCATCACCTCTCCAGCCATTTCAGTGCTGGCCTCTCCCTGCCCACAACATACCCCAGCGGCCACCATGCTCTGCATCGCTGAGAGACAGGTCTAACCGAGAGATTTTAATTAAGGTCTTTAGCAAGAATATGTCCAGAACTACAGAAGAAACGTGGGGCACAGCCACCACAAACGGCGTACAGCACACTGCAGGAGCAAGCAGATGGCACACCACCACAGAGAGCTTTAGGGACAAAGCCCCTCCACTACACTGGCTTTCACTCAGTTGGTTCGCATTAGCTCTCCCGTTGGATGCCTTGCTTACAAAGGCCGGGGCAGACTGTGGCTGTTCTAACTGCATGCAGGATGATAGGATGGGCTCCAGCACAGACCTGCTGCAGTGCTTTTTGTTTTCTGGCCTCTTCGTCATGCCTGCGCCGGGCCTCCGCTTCCTCCATTTTCTTGGCAGCTGCTTTCTTTTTGATCTTCTCCTCTGCCAACCTTTCCTCCCGCACCTAGGACACACACATAGCTGAATACCCAAGGCTCAGATGGGACAGTTCTCTCTGCGTGTGAAGTATCACAGCAGGAAGCCTCAGAGATGCAGAGCTCCCACCCTCCCACGGGCCAAAAGCTTCCTTCCTCGCCACCAGGAGCTTTTAAAAAGGTAGTATTTAGGGAAATGACCTTCTTTTACACCTCCACAGGAAGAGCTGATCCTGTTCTGGTTTGCAGACATCTAATACCACAAAAGCCATCAGAATATAATCTCAGAACCATGAAATAAGAAAAGCCAATGGAGATAATTAAAGCAGACAAATTACTGCTATGGTCACAGACACAAATTGTCTAAAGTCTCAGGTCCAAGAGAGGGTCTGGAGGGAGCATGTTTATTTTCTCCTCTTCATCAATTAGGCAGATAGGAGAACAACTTTAAGTAGATAAAGCCTCAGAGCCATTAGGCTGGCTTTATCTGCTTGAAGTTCTTCTCCCATCTGGCTAACAGAGCCTTAATAAAGCCCATTTAGATTCATATTCCTGGAAAATAAGGGTTCCCACCCACCATTTGCTGTAACCAAGAGAAGGGCAGTCACTCAGAACCACCGAGTTTCTGGAAAGCTCTTTATTCAACTGTTCTTCATATCTCAAGCAGCCTCCATCCCACTCTTTCTGGAAGGCACACTCCTGTGGCATCATCTACCTCAACAGATCATTTATTCCCCCAAGTAAACTCTATCGGTATATTGGGCCTTACCTTCTCAGTCTTCTCATCAAATAGAGCTATCTTCTGCTCAATGCGCCTTTTCCTCTCTTCCTCTATTTGCTCTGCCCGTTCCCGAGCTCGCAACACTTTGCGCAGGCGCTCCTCACGCTTCCTGTAGGACACAGGACAACTTTATCATTGTAGCCCAGCTAGACGAGTCCCTTACAACGCGAACACAAGGCCAACAGAGACAGCTCCTGGCCAGCATGAAGTTCAATGAACCAAACACACCATTTGTTTAAACATTAGCAAAGTTTTTAAGCTCCATCTGAGGCAGAGGACTCAAGATGAAAAGCTGAAGCAACAGCCAGCTGGGATAGTTAACATTTTATGAGCATCCTAGATAGTTCTCAGGAGAACAAATACAGAATCACAGAATCACAGAATCGTAAGGGTTGGAAGGGACCTCAGGAGATCATCTAGTCCAACCCCCAAAATACGGTCTTTGTGGCATGAGAGCAAGCCAACAAGAATTTTTGCTGTATGAATGGAATCTGCAAGACACAAGACCGAGATACAGGGCCCTACAGGAACAGAGAGGGCAGCCCAGACAGGGCAGAAAGTGTGTACTCACAGCTTTGCCTCCTCTAGTCGCCTTTTCTTTTCTTCCTCCAGTTTTTGTTTTCTCAGCTGGTCAGCTTCTTGCTTTTTCCTCAGAGTCTCAAGCTTCTGTCTTTCCTTTTCCTGAGGTGGATTGAAATGCAATTATACCCACCTGTCAGGGCTTCTCTCTACCTCAACTTGCTCGGGTTAAGTGAGGGCCCAGAGGTAACACCAGGGAACCGTAGCCAGAACCAAGGGATGGGAACAACCCCGGAACAGAGCTCAGATAGCCTGTCATTTGGTCACGGGGATGGATGGGATGGAGAACAAGGCGGTGGCATTAACTTTAGAGAGCAAGAGCAGGAGCTGGGAAGTTGAAATGGAAGCATCAGCTCCTGAAGTCCAGGCAGCTTCCGCAGCAACTGCAGACAGACAGCATGGTGATTTATGTCGGTGCAAAGCAGCAGTGCTGATGCTTGGCAACGATACCAACGTCCTGCAGCAAGCTTAGGGGGCAGATGGTGCTCTAGGAAACACCTTGCTTGCTTCCACCCAGAGCTCCCACCAGTGCCTGTGCTTCCCACAAAGCTTTATCTCATGGTAAGCCGCCACCACGTAGACAGAGCGCTCACAGCTTGTGTCAAGCACACAGCCAGCCCCATTGTCATCTGGGCAGAAACGCAGGGCATTCTTCTCATGTCTCTAAACGGTCCAGCTGACTCTGCCTAGGCAAACTGTCAGCTGCAAGAGCACGACCCAGTCGTCGCTACAGTCAAAGCGAATGGATTAAGATAAACTAATTTAAAGCCAAGATTTGATACTGCAGATGCCTAATCATGACAGGCCTGGGCTTGGTACAACAAGCATGACGAAAGAGTCAAGTGATTACCTTGTGCTGGGCTCCATGTTGTAAACGACTGGCGCTATTGGTATCCAAACTGGCCAATTTAAAACTAATGATTATATCTTACTGCTCTGGTGCTGTTTAGTTGTGTTTAGCCCCCACATGAAAAAAGTCATGCAGGGAAGTTGCCCGCACTGGAATGAAACCTAAAATATAACATGGGGTGAACCGACAGCAACAAAGGATGTCAGAAGACCCTTTGCATCGTATTAACTCCTTTGCCAGTACAGACAGCAATGCCACCAGTGAGGCTGAAGCTGGAACCCTTCCCTGCTCCTCCTGCCTGCTGGAGTGTAGCAAGGCTCTCCAAGCAGTACAGCTGTGAGGCCTTAAGCAATATGAAGGAGTTCTGGCACGAGGTTGCCAGAGCTAAGCTAGGTGAAGGAAAACCGCCCTGGAACTGCCTTATTTTGCAGGCAAGTTGTTGGGTATTAGAAGGGTGAGCAATCTATGCCCACACACCAGCTTCTAGCACATCCCTAGGCGCGGCCACAAAGCTGCGCCCTTGTGCTTGCCTGGCACAGCCAGAGGGTGATTCCGGGATAGGAACTACAGCACACTGATTGGAGCCTGCTTTTCCAGGAACACTGACTTGTCCTCCGAGTTAAACACCAAATTGAAATGCAGATCAGGCAGGAGCAAGGGCTGCCCCTCAGTCATCAGGCAGTATTCCGACTGCAAGTCCGGCCCGTGTAATGCAACAATCCCGATTTATAACCAAACTGCCCAGTGTCAGCAGAACACAGGGAAAACCAACTCCCTTTGGAAATCTAGAACCAGATCTTCTCAAATCCCACCAACCCAAACAACCACTCTGCTTGGGGCACAGGAGCTTCTCCTGTGGTGCTGAAAGCTTTGCTTTGGTATCGCATAGGTAGAAGCTTCTGCCTGAAACAGCAAAGGCACGGTGTTTGTCTTGGCTGCTTGCAACAGCTATCCTGCACTGATACTGACGCCTGTTAGATCTGGACCCTGGCATACTTGTCTCACCGACCCAGCAGCTTCCTATCCAGGACAGCCTCACGTTCCTTCCTGCTTCAAAGGTCTGAAAAACCTTAGAACATCAGCAGTTTGGATTTAAGAGGCATTTGCTCAGATCTCACTTGTTAGAAAAGTCCTAGGAAGGGAGACTTTAGATGTGCAGACTCCGGTTACATACACACACCTCCACTGCAACAGTCAGAATCCCCTTCATTTTCACTTCCCAGTTTTCCTTCCCAGCTGTTACTTGCTAACACCATAGGGGAATGCTACTGTAATAAAGCTTACAGTCCAAATTCGAACTCTTTAGGAAGCTGACTAATTGCAATTTTATTTCGCTTATATAAGTGTAAACAGCTTAAAGTTACTACTTTATTTAATATGGACTGAAAAGTTTCTTTCATGCCTGTGCTTTAGCTTAGACTCCCATCAGACCATCACGCGCTGGCTTACACCAGTCTCATCTTACCTTGGGATCGGACTGGAGAGGAGTATTGTACCTGATGAAAGATTTTATCACTACATTTCTCCCCACAGAGCTCGGCGTCATGAGGAGCTGGTTCTTCTGCACAGTGTGCAAAAATGTTTTGAAAGGACGTACAACCTACGAGAGGAACACCAAAACAGTCCTCAGGAACGTAACAAACAAGCAGGTCTTGGTGAAGTACACCAGGGTCACAAGGATCTTACTTTGCTGGCTGGAAAGGTAGGGGATGGGGTCTTTCTTTTCGGAGGAGAAAGCCCTCCATCAGCTGCTTGCTGATTGTCATAGCATTCATCCACAGCCCGTTTGTAACTTGGCTTTCTCCTGGAAGAAAAACACAGCCCATCACACGTGGCAAATCCTCCCGACTGTCTCAAAGTCAGGTTTAAAAAAGGTCATAAAACTGTCCTAGCTTAAAAGACATTTCCTTGTGTATACACAAGCAGGTACCCAATTAAAAACATCTAGTGTGATAAAAGACACAAAGTCCTCTTTGCACAGAGGCAGAGAAAATGGACGGCAGAAGTTTCATGGCCACAAAATGAAGCCATTTAACAGCGTCTCAGTGGTGAGCCTGCTTTAACGGGACCACAGATCTCCAGAGGCACCTTCCAACCAGAACGGTTCTATAAACATACCTGGCACTCTGGGGCGGTTCCTGGGTCTCCCCGTTCTTATTTAAGTTATTTTCTGAAAAAAAACATGGTTACACAGTTACTTCCAGCAGAAGAAAGAAACACCTTCCACCACAGCTTTGAAAGCAGACGAGATTGAGCAGCTCACTGAAGAGCAAAAAAACCTGCCATGAATTATTCACAGCAGGACCTTGCTTGCTTTCAGCAAGCAACCACATGGCGCCATTCAAACCTGGAAGTACAAAATAAAGCAAAGCTGCCTAAAGGAACCTGCGGCACGCGGTTTGCACTAATGCAATGCTGCTGTGCACAGATACAGAACAGCCGCTTGCTTCGGAAACGGGGTTTGGTTGGGCCTCCCATAGCCCAGAGAACGTGCATCCCTGCATCTTCATTCCCACAGGCTTCCCAGAGCAGAGAATAACCCCAGCACAGTTTCCTAACTGCTAATCTCTTGAAACGAGTCCTCGCTTGTCTCAGGTTAGACTAGGCTTTTAAACTGGGTTCTCAAACAAACTAGCCAGTCTTTCAACTAACTCCCCAGTCAGCCTCCCAACAAAGCGGTGACTTTCTAACATCCTCCAGATGCTACCATTGGTGCTCGTCTCCTGGGGCTGTTGGTTTCTGGTGACAGTCCGAGAGCGAAGTGACATCCGTGGACTTTGGAGATTCTGTAAGAAAAGCAAATGGGTTTCAGCACAATTCTCACACAGAAACAGCGTGATGTCATTGTGACAAGGTCACCATCTGCAACGTTACCAGAACGCAAAACCGCATGCATAGCACAAAGTGTTGGTGCCAGTACCCAGAGCGAAGCCCTAACCTCCAGCTGTGCAAAATACCCCGGGACCCCATCTTCTTGTTAAATTCCTCGATGTCAGGTCACCACTAGAAGCATAGATGTTAATGGAACACAAGTATCTGCAGCCCAGGGTTGGCTGCTTAAACTGAACAAACTCATGAGCTATTAAGGACAAAAGCATTTCACGTTGGAAATCTGTTTGTGCTCTCCGGACCCCTGCAAAGAGCCAGGCAGGGCTCATTTTGTGGGCAAACAGCAAGACAGCAAACAGCTCATCTCCTTGATTTACCCGCTTGTGTTAGGAGTGTGATACGCATTGCTATCTGCTGCCTTCGCACTTACGCTGATAGAAAATCCCGTTGTGATAATGGGTTTATACGCCTGTGAGAAAGCAGGCAGTGGCCTTGGGAATCTGCGCTCTGCCAGCAAGATAAGCATTAACTCCACTCCCCAAAGGAGCTGGGAAGAGAAGGAAGCAGCAGCACGGACACTTGATCCTCCCCAAATGCTTCTGCAGAGCCTCATCCTAAGGCATCTTGTACCCAACGGAATGACATAGATCCAATTCACACGAGATCAGGCCCGAGAAGAACCTGACCTTTAAGTAAGAGCGTGAACACGGGTACTGTCTTTATACGTTCCTGTAGACAAAGGTGTCTTCTGGTTTGAGCAGGCTGCCGAGCCACCTCATGTTCGCACTACTCACGGCTCCCACAGGAAGCCTCTGGCAGAAACCGAACCGCCTCTGGTTTGCCAAGAAAACAGCCGATGGGTCGATATGGCAAGGCAACCTGGTGACAGGCTAAGAATGAGATGGGCTGCCAGGCCCTGCTCCCCACCGAAGAGGTATGGAATAACAGATGAGGATCCAGGACAAATCACACACCCTGCAGGGACGAGGCTGTATTCATGAATTCATCAGGGTTCGGAAACAGAAGATACAACTCCTCTGCTCACAGGTCTGCAAAGCAGTTGGCTCATTTTTGAATTCTCCCCATTTTCCCCATTAAGCTTTTCTACAGTTGTAACCCACACATGCTAAAAATCCAGAGGCACTGGAAAAACCGGGTTTATTTGAACTTTTGCAGATCTACTGACAAGCGCAGCCCTGAGAGCATGTATAAGCCTGTCCCTGCTCAGTGAAGCGCTTAAGGCCATGGAGCTCCGCTCCGTTAATTCAGGCTTCACTTACTGAACATTATTCTGGACAAACCACTGGCAGAATCCTGGGATTGCTTCCTCAGGAGGGCACTGAGAATTGCAGAGGGCTACATTTCGATCTGAAGGATATTTACAAATTTCTGTGGCTGTCTTAAGACAAACTGACAAGCTTTGAAAAATCTCCAGGATTAATGAAAGGTCAAAAGAAGCTTTAAAAATACAGAAATAGTAGCAGTGTACAAATGTCCAACTGAACAAAACCTCCCTGGACTCTGAGAAGGTTATTTATCTGTATAGGGTCAGGACTGGATTTTCAAACAGCTTATCTCCAGCAAGAGGCTGCAAAGCAGGAGCCAGAAAGCAGGGCTGGACTGAATGCCAGTGGTACCAGGGTGGGCACTCAGTACCGGCGTGCATCAACCCGCCATTGACACTTAAATAGACGTACGCAGCATGACAGAGAGGATGCCAAAGCTGGCCTTGGCCTTGAAAGCATCTGAAATTGTAACGCCATACTGACAGAATACCTCTGCTTGCATCCAGAATGAGCCTTGGGTCATGTGTGCCCATTTTGCAAATGAAACTTTACAGGTTTTTGTTTTGCCAGTTTTGGAACTTTGTGATTAAAGCAGACTTGACGACCTCGGGCTTCCCCTGGCCTGCATATCAGAAATAGGGAGGCTACGGATGGGTTCAGTGCGGGCTGGCTGCTCTACGCCATCTTTATTTAAGTGCCATGCAGCAGGTTGACCGAGTGCATTGATCTGTGGCCAGAGTCCCCCAATAACGACCGAGAGGTACATTCAACACGCTCCGCTCACAAGCCCATACAAACAGAAACACTTTGGAGCTCTGCTCAAGCCTTACCGAATTGGAGGGGGTACAAGGTCCAGGAGGCAGCCTAGGGGGGAAAAAAAAAAAAAAAGAAAGGGCAGCCACATTTAATAACATCAAGGAACCTGGGAGGCCACTTGTTGTCTGCAAGCAGCGTACTTTATACCAAGAATGCCACCATAAAAAAAAAACAACTCCAAGCAGCCCATTAAGGAAAAAGAAATATCTTAAAGTAGTCTCACCCAGTTTTGAGAACTGTTTCTTCATCCTCTGGCACCTCTCCAGAGCTGGAGACTGCAGAAAAAAAAAATAAATGCCGGAGCTATAATGTACGGACACAGGCCAAGCCTCCGTAGGAGCGAAGTTCACGCAAGGCTGCTGCGGAGGCTTTTGCTCTGCCTCCTGGGTCACTGCCTGCAATTCAAATCCACGCTGCTACAAGTCAGGGCAGCCGAATACACCTACACAGCACTAGAGGAAACGCTGCCTGCAATTTTAACATAAGAAAAGGATGTTTTCAATTATAGATGAGTTTAGAGTGAAGTAGGTTTAGGCTTCGATTAATTTTGCAGGTCTGTGCCCAGTTATTAGCAGTAGTTAAATCCAGTGTTATTTACAGTC